AAGTTGGGGCTCAGGCAGGGCCAGTGCTTCCGCTAGGCAAGCTGCCTACGGGCGCATTGCCACCTAGGGGCACCTGGGCGCAGCACAGGCTGGCTCTCTTTCTGTGTGGCCTATGGATCTCTTGTATGAATTCTTAATTTCTCTGCAGAGTCCCCCTATCCTCATACACAGGGAATGATGAGGGAATGATGGAATCTTTATTCTACACAATTATCTCACAGCCTGTCTACACAAATGACCATTTAGTACACATATACACACATGACAGTATTCCATGTAGCAGTGAAGTGTCGGCTTCCCCTGAGATGGGAAGTGATGACATTAGCCCAGGTCCCCGGGTGGTCAGCAGACTCTGATCAGAGGATCGGTACATTCTTCTCCAGTACACACACTGGCACAGACGATCCTCCCGCTGTAACAGGGAGTCGGCTAGTGACCGAATGGGGCATGTCCAGTGCTGGTTCCGCCTTTTTTATACACAGCTGGAGCCCATCAATAGGCAGAGGTGTGCTCTGGTTTCAGGGTTAACCCTGTGTGAGTAGGATGACTGGGGCCCCTATGTATATGAGAGGGAAGCGGTGTAGTGCTGGGAGGCTGCCTGTCCTCACTGAGAGCCGCAGTCTGGACTCCACACCCCAGCAGGAGCCATCAGAGGTGAGCCGAGCCTAGAAGGATGACAGGTCATGGAGGTAACAGGAGGAGGAGGGGGGCAGACAATGGTCTGGACAATCGGAGGGGAGCCGATTCTGAATGATCATGTGGGACGCTGCCATGTCATGAATGATCCTTCAGCTGAGGGGAGGGATGGCAGAAGGGGAGGAAGACTAGACAGAGGAAGGTGTCTGGGGCCAATGTAGCAGCTGAGCTTCCAGTGTTCCTCTCAGACGCAGTCCCTTACTGCAAGCCAGGCTGGCAGCTGCTGATCACTGTGGAGTTTTGCTTCTCTGTCCGATTGGTTAATACAGTTAATTTATATTTTGTTAATATATATTTTGTCTTTAATATTGGTGCTGGTGGCATCTTATGACACTTATTTTTGCAAAGTAAAAGAAATTTAGCAGTTTTATATTTTGTGTATTGGGAGGGGAGGGGGCGCAAGTATTTGGTCTTGCCAAGGGTGCAAAATAGTCTAGCAATGGCCCTGGGCTCAGGTAAGTATTGGGGAAGCTGGGAGGAGCTGCACACAGAAGGTTTTTTTCCCTTCATACAGAGAATGCAAGAAAGTAAAAACCTTCAACCTTTCTAATCACTTTAAAGAGTATCTATAATCAAATGTAAAATCATGTTTATTTCTACACTGTATTTCAGTTATTTCTAGCCTACACCTAATAACCTATTAATCTTGAAGTTTGTAAACTTAGTTTGTGAAGATCCCCAAACAGTTATTATCTATTATTATAATTTCACAGAGCATGCCTTATCTACAGAGAGGTCAGGAGTCAGTACGGGAATCACTGCTTGCAGGCAGCAAGGTACCATGGGATATGTAGTCCTTAGCAATGGAAAGTAAATGGCAGAGGAGAAGCAGCAAAGCATACTGGGAACCCAGGAAGTTGTGCAAAGAGATGACAGCAGACAGGCAGAACTCACAACATGAAAGGAGATATTTCAAATAACCTTATATTGGATTGTCAAATAGAACCATTGTATATATTGGTATTGCAATGCTGATGTTATTAAATGAAAGTGTACGCTGTGACCGTAGATCTCCTTTAACTTGTTGGGCAGCACAGTGGCTGAATGATTAGCACTTCCACCTAGCAGTACTAGCGTCAGTAATTCGAATCTCAACCACGGCACCACCTGCCTGGAGCTTGCATGTTCTCCCTGTGCCTGTATAGGTTTTCTCCGGGTACTCCGGTTTCCTCCCACGCTCCAAAGACATGCTGGTAGGTTAAGTAGATCCTATCTAAATTGGCCCCAGTATGTGTGTGTATGAATGTAAGTTAGGAACCTTAGATTGTACGGCCCTTGAGGGTTAGAGACGGACATGAATGTACAATATATATGTAAAGCGCTGCGTAAATTGACAGAGCTATATAAGTACCTGAAATAAATAAATAAACTTGTTCAGAGATGGTTGCAATCAGCCATGACACCTTGCCTTATGAAAACCATCTAAAAAGTTAGAAATATTTGTATAGGAATGCTGTGTGCATGGGATCACATAGGGGGGGGTTCTCACATTACCAGCAAAAGTGGAAATACACTTTAATATGTAGTACAGTCATACAGGCTGAGTGGAGAGGGCTGGGTGGTGGTTGTTCATTGATAATCAATAGCCCAGTGTAAATATTAAACTATATAAAGATAGAAATACGTTGAACTTTAACCATGGTGTAAAATTGCAAACAATGGGACATTAACACTGACAGCTGGACTGGATCAATATTCTCTAATCTTTTAAGTGTATGTCACAAGCCAAAACGTTTTTCTTGGTTTTGAATATAGTGAGGGATGATTGGAGCCCCTGTCAGATTTTTATTGATATCTAAGGCTCTAATAGAGAGATTTCAACTCACTTCCTCCTTGGTTGACAACTGTTAATCAGACAAGAAGTGAGAAAAAATCTCCAAAAGTTACACAGACTTAAATAAAATGCTTTATTAGCATACCCCATATGTCTCCAAGTCATTAAAGTTGCCACTGTAGATAGCCCCTCCCCCAATTTATCCTAAGAACAAATGACTAAGGACACAACCTGGAGAAATTCTTTTGGCCAGCTTGGCCATTTATTAACAAATAGCCAAATATAACATTCTTAAAACGGAAACAATTCACATATTCCAGTAACCATAACATAGAGGTTGCCGGTCTTGGGAGGCACCTAAGAACCAACATCAGGTTGAGTATCTGCGTTGGTGCTTAACAATCCCCAGCTGCAAAACACCGGCTTTGGGACAAACCCAATACCTACTTGTTACCACTTCCCAGATAATACCCCATTAACTGGGATCCAACAGAGGACCCCATACCTTAGATGGGTCACTACTATGAACTTTTCTGAAAATGTTAACGCCTCTAAAGACCAAAGGCCCTAAGGCCAAACAAATTGAATAAATGCAGGGGGGAAGATTCCTTCACGCCCATTGCTCTGAGGGATTTGCCGCTCTTTGGATCTCCTCCCCGTATATTATAGAGAATGTAACAAGAAAACATGCAAAATCCCCAACCGTGTCTGGAATTATGGCACAAAGATGCCACTTTTGTAGGTCCAAAACAAATTAAAGAGGTTATTCAGTCTTAAAAAAAAAAAAATAAAAGCAGCTACAAAAACTGTAGCTGCTGACTTTTGAAACAAGGACATTTATCTGTCCAGGGATCCAGCACTGTCCTCCTCCGGGCGACTCCTTCACCAGTCTTCGGGTCACCGGTGTCAGCATGTTTACTATCAGAAGCTGGCTGTGACTCCTTGTAGTTTCACATTCAGCTTCCCACTGCGCATGCGTGATGTGACCCAGAAGGCTGTAGGCAAAGAGTGGGGGCGTACTTCCGCTCCGATTGCCTAGGTAAGCAGGTCATAAGTGGGAGGGGGTACCTGCTAAAACTAGGTAACTGCTCCCCAAAAAACAAACCTCCAATAGAGGGAGAGGAGGGGAGAAAGAGGTGTTAAAGCAGAGCTTGCCTTTTGGTTTGGCTTTAAGAAAGTCAGGAGCTGATTTAGCACCCCTCAACTGTTCTCTGTCCATAACCAGAATATTACTTTTGGGTGAACTTGCATATTAAAATATGTTATTGAAAATATATTACCTTTCACAGAGATCACAGCACTCTCCCTGGACAATGCCTTTATCTGACTTTTTCTCCAGAAGGGCAGTGCCATATTTGCTCAGGAATTATCCAGGTCACCATTAACTTCCTTAATTCTGGCTCAGAGATGACACAATCATGTAAATCCTGATGCTGTGCCATTCTTGGCTGTGTTCACATATATCTCACACAGATCAGCCTCTGTTGCGGCTTCTTACCTTGATACGAAGTTACCTTCTGATTACTGGGGGAGAGGAGACTGAAGAAATGCTTCCTCCTGCCTGCAGCAGACTGATGACATCTATTTAGGCTGGCCATACATTATTCAATTTTCTTGAGATTTTTGGTTTAGATTTACCAAAAACCTTATAATATGAGGTCAAACCTAACAACACTTTCAACTGTATCCAATTAGGCAGGCCCTTGCACTACATAGTTTAAGGTAAATCTAAAGGAAATTGGGCAGAAATTGGACAGAAAATTGTATAGTGTATGGCCAAGTATAGTGTCTAGGCAAAGTCTCTAGTGGAATAGGGATCAAGAACTGATTGTTAATGATAAAACGTATTTTGCATATGTCAGTCCAAAAGATAGATAGCCAAACACTTTGCACAGAGAAAATGATTGCCCCCAGTAAAATAATGTCCAGTTCAGCTGCACTGATATGTACAATATTTAGCTGCGTATAATGAATTATTATTATTATGATTAATAAGAATTTATATGGAATTAATAGTTTGCACAGCACTTCACTAAATAAAGGGACAGTATAGTTTAAAACAAGGAGGTTAGCAGGGCCCAGCTTATGGGAACTGTTGAGAAATTGCAGATTTCTTGCACACAGCAGCCCAGGTGCATTGCACTGTAGAAAGGAGTAGCAAGAGACTGATGGCTGCCTGTTCAGACAAGGCACACCCTGACACTGTCATCTGACAGGCTGGGCTGCCTCTTCCTGCAGCTGTAATGGGAAACCTCCTTGATGACGTTACTGAGCTGCATCTATTCCATCCAGCACCGTGTAGCCTGTACAGTCCCTTCTCCTCTGCACACACCAAGGGATGCCTGCCTCTTTCCTCCCTCTGCTTTAATATATATAACATCTGCCTGCATCTGTCTCTCCAGTGGTCTCAATACAAGGACTGCTCTGCAGTGATTTCTCTGTGCATGCCTCTGCAGCCTCCTGCCACCCGTACTTGGCCACCTCTGTGCCTTCTCACCAGCTACCTTCCTGTGATCACAGTCCAGGGACCATGATCGGTTCAGCAGCCAGGTTGGCTCATGACCGGGCTGTGGCCAATGGCTATGGTACCAATGAGAAAGCCCTGAAATACCTCCACCAGGACTATGAGACCCTCAGGAATGAATGCCTCCAGTCTGGAACTTTGTTTAAGGACACCTCTTTTCCAGCCATCCACTCCTCGCTTGGGTTCAATGAACTGGGAGCCAACTCCTCCAAAGTGCAGGGGGTGGTGTGGAAGAGACCCACGGTAAGTCACCAGCCTCAGGAGAGTGCATGCTGCATGACAGTTGTAGAGTCTGGGACTACCAGCTGAGAACTACAAATCCCAGCATGGGCTGATAAACTGCTTGATTTCTGTTAATAGGTTGTTGCTGTGAAACTGGAATTCTTAAGGTAAGTGGGTCGGTTTTAAATATGGGAGCTGCTAGTGTGTTTTTGTAGGTGCATGCCCCTGGCCTTTCATCCTCAACCTCATTTTATTACTTCATTAATCACACATGTGGAACAAGTATGCAGGTTGGGAGGTCTGACTTGACTGGATTCATAGTGCTTCCAAGTGACATGTCGCCAGGATGATAGCCTTGGAACTTGTACCTTTACAAATAAGTCAGTATTGAGAGGTCCCATCTTTCTGTACTTATCGGTTCCGTATAGGAAGGTTGGGGGGGATCCCGACATCCAACATCCCAGTGTATTTGTAGACACTGTCTGAGCCAGAATGTTTATTTCCCAGGTGACTGCTGATTCCAGCATGTCCGAACAGTACGCAACTGCCATTAAGTATTAATGTTGGTCATACATATGGCAGTTATTAGCATTTTAACCGTTCCCATCCAGGAACAATTACTATAGCTAAGTGGCAGGAATAGTGCGTGCATTGATCTGTTCAATTTGTTTTGCAAAAATGTCATGAAACTATTCATTTGTATCTTGTGTTTATAAGATAAATTTATGCAGAAAGTTTGGAGATTACGTGACCCCCTAAGGCCCCTTTCAGATGGGGCGGATTCCATTCAGCTCACAGTTCCCCAGCTGATCGGAGCAGAATGGGCGGATGACAGGTCTGTGCGTCTGCTCAGTTTCTGCAGAGAGGACATGGACAGAGCCCACTCTGCTCTATGGGCAGACAGGAGTAAACACACTCCGCTGTCTCTTTACACCCAACTACCCTCCGATCTGATACACCCAAATGGAAGAGGACCATCCCCTTGTTTATTTTGTCGGTTTTTAGCAGACCCAGAGGTAGGCAGGTGTAAAGGCAAGTCAGTTTACACCTGCCTGTCTATAGAAATGCATGAACCTTCCGATCAGGTCAGCCTGAAAACTGACAGATGGACCAGATCGGATTGCCCATGTGAAAGGGGCCTTATTGGCTTATTGGCTAACTTGAGATAGCCAAAGACTGGCACCAGTAAGAAGTTGGGGAGAAGATGTCAGTGCCGGCAAAGGACCTCATGGGCATCAGAGCTTTGGAACAAAGGTAAGTATTCTTTACTTTATTTCCTCTTTAAGCTGGATATACACTGCTCACATTTCAGCCAATTCTTACTGGCTCGGCCAAAAGTCAAGCAGTGTATGGCCCTGTTCACACCACTCCATTCAACAAATGTCAATTGTTCAACTAACTTTTGTTGAAGGAGCCTGTCAGACAATTGTTCGCCTAACGTTGCCTGCATCCAATCAGATGCAGTCACTGTTCTGATCTGATCATTTGCAGCACTGGTTGTCAAAATATAATAGCCTAGCAGAAGGGATTTGTCTATCCACATTGTTGGCATGGATAGAGGAATCTGTTAGATTTTTTTCATTTAGCCTGCAGAAATCTATACATGTATGGTCAGTCTTAGATCCCTTCGTCGGGTTTTATAAAATTGTTATTATCTTATCGTTGTCAAAATTTCTGTAATAAAGTGGTTCAAAAGGTAGAAAGCGTTTTACCTTAATAGCCATGGTTCACACTTCTGCTGAGCAAAACATCGCATGTGATTTGCACAGGAACCACAGCGCACATGTGATTTCTGTGCATACATTTTTGTATGCCTCAAATCGCAAATCACCAAAATAGTGCAGGACCCTTTTTTTTTGTCCGTACCAGAATCGGATCACATAGGTATTCACACCTATGTGATCCGATTCTGCACATCGCACTGCGTTTTGTGAACCGATTTCAGGGAGTTGTTAACTTAACATACACGCCTGCAGGTTGGCATGAATGGGGTGCGATTATGATGGGTGCAGAAATCGCACAGAAAACGCTGCGAATTCTGGCCTGCATCAGTGTGAACCCAGGCTTAAAGGGAAAGAAATAAAACACAAGGAAAGAACATAAATACTGTGTATTACAATTGCACATTTAAACAAATGCAACGCATGTACGAGCACAAGAGGAAAACACACTGAAACATGCAGATTAACACCCCAGTCACATGCCATGCGACTTGTAAATCGTATGTCAAGTCGCACCCTATAGAGCGGTCATATAGTGTGAAACAGGGCCAAAGGTAAAAAATCTGAATGCAGCTCCCCCCAGCCCCTCCCCCCTTATACTTATCTGAGCCCAATCTCAATTCAGCGATGTGCATGAGAGCAGAGGCTCTCTTGTCTCTCTGCCTCCTCATTGGCTCAGACACAGAGGCGGGAGCCATTGATCCCAACTGCTATCAATCACAGCCAGTGAGGAGGAAGTAGGGGACAGGGTCGAATCCTGCTTTGTGTGTTTATGGACACACAGTGACGGCTCGGGAGCTAGCCCGCAGGGAGTGCCCCCATAGCATGTGGCTTGTTATGGTGGGCACTCTGCAGGAGTGGTGGCGGGGGGACCTCAGAAGAGGAGGATCAGGGCTGCACACAGCAGGTAAGTATAACATTATTATCATTATACAGGATTTATATAGCACCAACAGTTTGCGCAGCTCTTTACAAAATGAAGGCAGACAATTACAAGGCATGCAGTTACAATACAATTTGGTACAAGAGGAAACCGAGGGCCCTGCTAGTTAGAGCTTACAATCTAGGAGATAACATGTTTGTTATATTAAAAATAAATTTCTACTATGACTAAGAACAATTGATTATTTTGTTGCCAAAGATACTGCAATGCAAACAAATCTGCTCTTCCTCCTGAATGGATCATTGTACACAGCAAGACTATTTGTGTAAAATTCTCTTTTCCTTCCGTTTTACTGTCATTTTTAACTTCCTTCTGCACCATTGCTGTGCCTCTTTTTTATGGACTAAGAAAAGTTATACTTCCACTGGGAAATCCAACTACACATCTGAGAGGCTGCAATGTTTGGGCCGCCAGGCTTATAATCGACCTTTATGAATACAGTGAGTCAACAGAAATTTGTTTTCAAAATACATTGATGGTGTGAATTTGTAGAGGATGACTGTCACAGGCTGGCATCAGGCGGCTGGAGTACTTATGGTTTCATGCTGTATAGCAGTGGTTCTTAACCTTTTTGGAGGTACTGAACCCCACCAGTGTCATATGCGCATTCACCGAACCCTTCTTAATTGGAAAAATAAAATATGATTTTTAAAATTCAAAACATAGGTATATATTTATACATAGGTGCACAAAATGAACAAAACCATTAAGAACAAAGAACAAAACCATTAAAACATGATTTTCACACAAAAACAAAATAATGAATATTTACCGCAAATCAGTGTGACTTCTGCTGCTGTCTTTCAGAGGCCAGTTCAGAAATGCGCGGCATTACCTTGGCAAGTGCCACTCTCATGTCATTTTCGCAACAAAGTCTGTTCCTTTTCTTCGTCTTTATGTCCAGCATCCTCGAAAAGGATTGCTCGCAAAGATATGTTGTAACAAACGGTATGAAAATTCATCCCCCGTAGTAATTCATCCCCCATATAGTAATTCATCCCCCATATAGTAATTCATCCCTCATATAGTAATTCATCCCCCATAGTAATTCATCCCTCATAGTAATTCATCCCCCCCATATAGTAATTCATCCCCCATAGTAATTCATCCCCCCATATAGTAATTCATCCCCCATATAGTAATTCATCCCCCCTATAGTAATTCCTTCCCCATATAGTAATTCCTCCCCCATATAGTAATTCATCCCCCATAGTAATTCATCCCCCATATAGTAATTCATCCCCCATAGTAATACATCCCCCATATAGTAATTCATCCCCCATATAGTAATTCATCCCCCATATAGTAATTCATCCCCCATATAGTAATACATCCCCCATATAGTAATACATCCCCCATATAATAATTCATCCCCCATATAGTAATTCATCCCCCATAGTAATACATCCCCCATATAGTAATTCATCCCCCATATAGTAATACATCCCCCATATAGTAATTCATCCCCCATATAATAATTCATCCCCCATATAGTAATTCATCCCCCCTATAGTAATTCATTCCCCATATTAATTCATCCCCCATATTAAGTCCCCAAGTCCCCCCTGTGTCAATTCACTTACCTTTGCTCCGCGTGTTCCTCTCGCTGTATTCCCGCGCCGTTCCGGTCTTCAGGGCGGACTGTGAGAGGAGCCTAGCTCCTCTCACGTTTGTCACGCTGCCCCGCCTACACACATCCTGACAGCCAATCACTGGCTATCAGGATGTGAGTGGCAGCGAGACTGGCCAATCATTGCATTTGAGTCCCTGCCGCCCGAGAGGAGGGAGGGGAGCGGGCGCCCGGCACACAAGAGCCGCGGCTTGCCGACCACTGGGCATGTCATCACAAATCATATGAGTCGGGTGTGGGTCACCTCCGCCGAACCCCCGAGACTGACTCACCGAACCCCTGGGGTTCGATCAAACCCAAGTTAAGAACCACTGCTGTATAGTCATGACTACTGCACCATAGATAGGCTTGTCCACTCCTACTTCCACCATTGCCTATCCATACCACTCCAAACCCCCCCTTTAACCAAATAAACTTTACAAAAATATGACACCATTTTGAGTAAATGGCCAACATGGCCTTTTATTAACAACTTCACATTTTACATACATCAACCGTTCCTTAACGGAAACCAAAGAATTGTTGTTGGTCTTCAAAGGCACCCACAAACGATCCAAAATGCACCTGCGGACAACCCTATACACTAGGCCTCCAGCCGCAACCAACCAGCTCGGAGACAACCATACCGTCCGCAGTGCAGCACCACCACCTTCCAGTTAAACCTTGGTTAACTGGGAATATCCACCGGGCACCCCATACCACGGATGGGGTCCCACACCATTGTTTT